GTGGAGGTGCTGGCCATCCTGCTGAGCCTCTACCTGGTGACTGTGAACACGGACCTCACCACCATCGACCTCGTCGCCTTCTCGGGGTACAAGTACGTCGGGTGAGTGCTGGCCCCTCCCTGGCCTGGAGCTGCAACCACCGCACTCGAATTGGGGGAGGAGGCCAGTCCTGCGCCCGCTGGGGGAGCGTGTCCCAGTCTCTGAGCGGCACAGAGGCTGGGATCTCCTGGGAGACTGGCTGGAGCAGCGGTCTGGCGCCGACACAGACGTGCTGTGTGCAGAGTTAAAAGGGGCGCGATGCGGGTGTGGGTCCAGGCCCCTGTCAAACGAGATTGGCACCGGGGGATGCGTTTGGGAACGTGTCCCTGCCCCCACCCTGTGAGTGACCACGCCGCAGTGGGGTGCTGCCCAAGGGCCCTGGCATGGGAGGGGGTGCTGGTGGCATGGCTCTGCTGCCCGCAGGGCTCGGGTGCACCCCAGACCCGCTCACTTCATGCCTCTCCTGCGGCAGGATGATTGTCGGCATCGTGTCCGGCCTGCTCTTCGGCAAGACCGGCTACTACCTCCTGCTGACCTGGTGCTGCCTCTCCATCTTCGTCTTCATGGTAAGGGCCAGCCGCGGCTGGCAGGGCCTGGGCCGGCCGTGGCTCTGGGGCAGTGGCCTGGATCAGTCACTGGGAGGGAGGGTGGGGGTCTAGCTCTGGGGCTGGCTACTGGATTGGCTTGTTCTGACCTCAGGGCTGCACTGTCTGGTGCCGGGCCCCATGGTACCAGCTTCTCCCCTGCGCTTCCTGTCCGGATGCAGGAGCCGAGGAGAGGGCCCCGTGCCAGACCCTTGTCCTGGAGACCAATGGGCTAGCGGTGCCCAGTACGTTGGGCTCAAACTGCTGGGTGGGGAAGAGGTGGCAGCATGTGGCTAGTGGCCCAGGGCTGCTCCCGCCAGGCCCTGGCCCAGCGCTTCTCCCTCTCCCCCCAGATCAGGACACTGCGGCTGAAGATCCTGTCGGAGGCGGCTGCCGAGGGGGTGCTGGTGCGAGGGGCCAAGAACCAGCTGCGCATGTACCTCACCATGGCCATCGCCGGCCTGCAGCCGCTCTTCATGTACTGGCTGACCTTCCACCTCGTCAGGTGATGGGCCTCCCTGCTGCATCCTCTCCAGCTGCCCGGGACCCTGCCCCACGGCCTCCGAGCCCCAGGCCCAGCCGCGCTCCCTGCCTGGGGCCTGTTCGCAGCCAGGCTGACGGCGGGCGTCAAACAAGGCCGTGTCCGCTCCAGCTTGGGCTGCGGTGACGTCCTTGTGTTAGGGCTAGCGGGGTGGGTGTGGGGGGGTCTGTGTGGGGGGCTCCTGGCCAGGATACGGGGGGTGTGTCCCTCTCTGATGGGCTTAGCCCTTCGGTAAAGAGACACTGCAGGGTTTTGTTTAAGGGCCTCTAACCCCAACCTGGGGTGTGGAAGGGAGGGTGTCCCCTCCCCCTGTGAACGGGGGAGGCAGCTGGAGCTTGGCATATTCCAAGTGACTTGTCTCTGGGACCAGCGTGGGAGACCCCAGGCTCTGCCCTGGCAGTGTCTGTGGAGGGGTGGGACCCTCGGCTGGGCAGTGTCTGGGGGGTGGGGGTGTCCCTTACCCTGCAGTGCTCCTCCGTGGGCAGCTCGCTTCCAGCCGGGCCGTGAAGAACCTGCCTGCTGGCAGCTGCCTGGAGCTCTGGACGGGCCAGCCCTGCCCCTGCCTGCGGTGGTGCCGGTTTTGCCTACGTTCTTGCCTGGAGCCGCCCCCATCTCCAGGCTGGGCAGTGCCGGCCCAGCGCTCGGGGCTGCTCCGTGCAGGGCTGGCTGGCCACTGAACCAGCAGCGTTTCTTTGGTTTCTGTTGGTGCTGGGGGAGGCAGCTGTGGCCAGTCTTGCCCTGAACGCTGCCTTCGGGCTGATGCTCCGTAGGGCCCCCTGCCGCTGGCCTTCAGGGCTGGCTTCCTGCAGCTCCAGCTAATGCCTGAGCGGGTCCCCTGGCCTCCCCCAGCTTTGCTAGCCCCCCCCCCGTGCATGTTAATGCATGTGCGCTGCTGCCTGGTGGTTTCTCAGTATTACTCTGCTGCTGGGGGGCAGGCCGTGCCAGGCCTGCCTCGCTGGGGCCCGCGGTGACTGCATACGGCCTGAGCCACCCCCCCGGAACATCTGTATCCACAACAAGCCAATAAACAGCAGCGATGGTGCCTCTGTGTGCTGGCTTCAGTGGGGCCTTGCTCAGTGCATGGGGGGACACCCCCGCAGAGCATCCCCGAGGGCCCCAGCGCCCATTTGCTGTCCACACTGGAGCTGGCTGGGTGTATGGCTGCTCCCCAGCTCCACCCTCTGGCCACTGCTGCTCCTCCCCTGAGCGGGCTTGGCACGCACCAGCTCTGCTGCGGCCCAGGCAGGACGCCAGAGAGCCTGGAGCCGCCCCCCTTTCTGCAGCTGGGGGCCGCTCCCCTCCCCAGGGCCACCTGCCAAGCTGCTGTTCCCTTCCCCGCAGGTGGGGCCGAGAGCAGCTCCTCCGGGGCCCTTCAGAACCTGTTCTGTGGGTCAGGCCGCACCTGGAGGAAGCTGCCTGGGCTGGGCCTGCCCAAGGCTCCCGCTCATTAGCGCAGACTAATAATCCCCACAGCATCGACAGGGCAAGGGTGGGTCTGAGCTTGTTTATTTCCAATTAAGGCTCCAAAGGGCAGGCTCCAAAGATAACAGCGAACGGCCGTGGGTGCCAGGCTGAGCCGCTGGGTCTCCTCGCAGCCCTGCTCTGGGGCCGGGTCTCTGCCCAGAGGCAGCTGTGCAGTCTGGGCGAGACAGGGCCAGTCCTGGCACTGGCATCAGTGGCTCTTCTTCTCCTTGCACTTCTCCTTCTTCTCCTTCGGCTTCTTCTCCTTATTCAGCTTCTTCTCCTTCTTCTTCTTGTGCTCGTGGCCTGGGCCGTGGGGCTGGAGGGAGAGCGCAGGGGGTTGGGGGGGGAAGGGTCTGGGCTGTCCGAGAGCCCAGCTCTGGCCCTGGCCTGCCTTGGTTTCCCTCCTTTCTGAGCTCTCAGCAGGGCAGCACCTGGCCCCACGGGGTCTCTGACCTCCACTGGGCTCTGCTGCCATGATCCACCACTGTGCCCTGGTGGATTGGGCCCGGGCCCAAGACCGTGTTCGCCCGCTAGCGCCAACTGCTCTCTGCAGCCAGGCCCAGCCCTGCCTGGGGGCTGTGGGCCCCACCCTGCCGCCTTCTGGCCCCAGGCCCCGGGCTGGGCCAACGGGTGCAAACAGCCCTGCAGTTATCAGTGTGTGGGCATCGGGGCTGCCAGGTGCCCTGTGGGGCTGGGATGGCCCTTGGCAGCCAGACCTGGGCAAACAGGGACAGGGGAGCCAGGAACCAGGATCCCATGCAAGGGCTGGTGGACGTGTACCCTCCCAGCAAGAACACGGTGTGGGGCTGTCTGCTGGGGGGCTTGGCACCGGGGTGGGGAACAGACCCCCCCTTCCCCTGGCATGGGGCGCTCTCCTTATCCCCACTGCATGGGGCTGGGCAGAGCTAGGAGGAGAACCCAGGAGTCCTGGCTCCCAGTCTCCACCCCCGCAACGGGGGCAGCAGCCCCGGCGGGAGGGGGACGAGGGGGCTGGGCTGGCAGAGCTGCTCCGTGGGGTGTCCTGGCCCCTCACCCCCCTACCTTGCCATGGTGCTTCCCATCGCTGTCACTGGAGCTGCTGCTGGAGTCCGAGGAGCTGTGCCCGTCCTGAGAGAGAGAAGAGGCTCAGCCTTGTCCAGGGGCCCCCCAGGCCCAGGGGCCCCCCAGCATCGCAGCATGGGGGTCCCAGCACAGGGCAGCACGTCACGGGGGGGTGCCCAGAGCAGGTGCCCCCTCCCACACCCAGAGAACCCCAGACACCCCCACTCCAGCGTGGAGAGGAGAGGAGGCGTCTGGGGGTCTAGTCTCTGCCCCTTACCAGAGCCAGGGGTCAGGCCCAATTCCTGCCCCGCCCCCACCCAGGGTCCCTGGATCCTGCCCCAGCCCCTCCTCACCTTGTGTTTGTGGTGCCCCGGGTGAGGCGGGTGCCCCTCTTTCTTCCCCGCCTCATGCTTCTTGGAGTCTGAGCCAACAGCTGTGGGGCAGAGGGGAGCGTGTCAGGCCATGCCCAGCCCGGCTGTGCCGCAGAGCCCCCCCCCCTGGATATGGGGCGCAGGCACGGGGCGGGGGCGGGCGGGGCCCCCGGGCGGGGGGGCGGCTGCCCCCCCCCCCCCCCCCCCCCGCATCCGACCCGGACCAGCCTCAGTGCAGCCGCCTCTTGGGGAGCGCCAGGGGGTCCCCACTCAGAGCCGGTGGGGGGGGCTCCCAGGGTCTCTGCCTGGGGGAAGCTCTGGGGGGTGGCTCCTGGTCCCTGGGGTCTCCGCCGGGGGGGGCTTCTGGTCCCTGGGGTCTCTGCCGGGGGTGGGGGGGCTCCTGGCCCCTGCGGGGCTCTGTCCGGGGGGGCTCCCGGGGTCTCTGCCGGGGGGGTCCCCGCTCACCCGCCGCCCGGTTACAATCCATCCTGCTCCGCAGCCCGAGTCGCGGCGGGCCCGGGCCGGGCGGGGCTTTATGGGCCGCTCCAGGGCGGGACCGAGCG